CATGGCCAGCTTACTTTTTATAAATATTAATACAATATAACGAGTAAGAGAATGTAGAGCTGTTTGGTATATGTAGCATAGGAATTCAGAAAGCAAATACGAAATCCAAGGTCCAGTTGGAATAGTGCCTGTAAACATGTTTTGAAAAATCTGTATTACATGAATTTAAGACATTGTTATTATACAAGGTATATAATTTCATGTATATTATACAAGCTATATAGTTAATACTGTTCTTAGAATACTGGTCTGGTAGCAGCACCTTTAAAGTGTTTTGCAAGTGAGTTCTTTGTTCTTTTTATAAGTTCTGAAGTAAAGTCATGGTTTTTGTTTCAGATAATATTTTACAAAAACGGTGTCAATCAAGGTGTGGCCTACAAAGATATTTTTGAGGGGGTGTACTTTCCCGCCATCTCGCTGTACAAGAGCTGCACGGTGCGTATCTTACGTTCATCCCGTGAACAGAACGTGGGGGAAGTAGGTGAATAGCTGGTGATGAAAAAGCAATCGATGGAGTCCCAGAAAGACATCTGAGCAGCCCAACAGTGACATGGGCATGTGTTGCTACTATTCCTGTTTGGTCCAAAACCACTGGGGGTTTTAGGAAGTTCTTGCTCGGGTGGATGAAGGTCGTGCAATTGGTGTGCACCGGGCTGTTGCTGTGAGTGCACTGTGCGGCCTTGCTGTTCAGTGGGAGGGTAGAGAGTATATGCGTGCGTCAGTCAGTTTGGTGTTATGTCATGGTGACCCACCACTGCCAGGGGCTTTGCTTATGTTGATTTCCTTTTTGTAAAATGTGATCCAGGATAAAATTAGGGCTTGCTTTGTGTGGGTTTTTTTGTTTGTTTGTTTTGTTTTTTTTTTGTTTGGTTTAGTTTGTTTGTTAGAGACAAGAGTCTTGCTCTATTGCCCTGGCTAGAGTGCTGTGGCGTCAGCCTAGCTCACAGCAACCTCAAACTCCTGGGCTCAAGCAATCCTCCTGCCTCAGCCTCCCGAGTAGCTGGGACTACAGGCATGCGCCACCATGCCCGGCTAATTTTTTCTATATATTTTTAGTTGGCCAATTAATTTCTTTCTATTTTTAGTAGAGACGGGGTCTCGCTCTTGCTCAGGCTGATCTCAAACTCCTGACCTTGAGCGATCTGCCCACCTCGGCCTCCCAGAGTGCTAGGATTATAGGCGTGAGCCACCGTGCCCAGCCAGCCTATAGCTACATTTAAAGTGAAAAGTTTCCCATATCACATTGTTTTCAATATTTTCTCACGTTTTCCTTCATGTCTGCTTCAATTGAATTTACTCCAGGTCTCCATTAACTTTGGGCCGTGCTTCAAGTATCCTCCAAAGGACCTCACTTACCGCCCCGTGAGTAACGTCAAAACGTCCGCTTGCGTCCTCAGCATCTTCATTTCTTGCTGTGGCTGCCCTACTCACCCTGTCCGCCTCTCGTTCCTCCTGCAGATGAGCGACATGGGCTGGGGCGCGGTGGTGGAGCACACCCTGGCCGACGTCCTGTATCACGTGGAGACGGAAGTGGATGGCAGGCGCAGTCCCCCGTGGGAACCCTGACCCGGTCCTGCCTTCTTTCCAGACACAAGACTTTCTGGGGAGGAATACTGGGGTTTCTGTTATTATTTTTGAACTGTCCCACATGTTCTTCCAAAGACGCTGCAGAACACAGCCTCCCTCCCCTTTTAGCAAGTCAGAGGCTGGGCCAGGCCGGGAGGCTCGCTGCCCTTCAGCGTCGTCCTCTCCCCGCGCCAGCCACTGCTCGCTCTCCGTGTGCCATACGCCAACAGCTGCTGACCCCGGGGCCCCTGAGCGCCCGGTGGAATTGGTGCTGTCCCACACACCCCGCCAGCTAGGTCTTGCTACCTTGCTGTGTTTTCTAAGGAGTGAATGATCTTGTCCAAATGACTAACTTATTTAAAGACATTTCCTTCTGTGGGCATTGACTCCACCTTCCCTGTTCTCCAAGGAAGAGGTGGGCCTGTTTCTGAGAACAGCTGAACTCAATCGCTGTACATTCCAAACCAATCCAAGAGCTGTTTCCTTTTCGTGTGGGCTTGGCTTTGTTATTAATTTTGAAATTTACTTTTGAACACTGGGATCTCGGAAACTGCTAGATCTCTAGAACTGTAATTGTAAAAGATCTTGCTTGCAGCTTTAACAAAATGAGAAACTCTTCCAAAATAAAACTTGCTTTGAAGTTTCTGTGGCAACTTCGGCTCCCTTCGGGATGGGTTCCTCTTGGTGACAGTGTCAGAAATGTGGGCGGTGTGAGGAAGGGGAGCCAGCATGGAGAGGAAGAGGCAGGTTTCTGTCTTGTGCCTCAGCCACTCTCCTGTTGCTCTCATTCTCAATCAGCCACCCCGTTTATTCTGTGAAAACTGGCACCTCAGGGAGGTGATGTTCATGGCGTACCTCCAGCCCTTGTCTTTGAACAGGAGTGTTAATATGTGCAAGTAGTTTTCCTGCCTTGCCTGACGATTAAAGGCAGTTTTTAGAATATTGAAAACTGGGACTGGGTGCAGTGGCTCACGCCTGTTATCCTAGCACTTTGGGAGGCTAAGAGGAGAGGATCACTTGAGGTCAGGAGTTTGAGACCAGCCTGAGCAAGAGCAAGACTCCATCTCTATAAAAAAATACAAAAATTAGCTGGCCACAGTCGTGCTTGCCTATAGTCCTGGCAACTTGGGAGGGTAAAGCAGGAGGATCGCTTGAGCCCAGAAGTTTGAGGTTGCAGTGAGCTATGGTGCTGCTGTTGCACTCTAGCCAGTGTGATATAGTGAGGCCTTATCTCAAACAAAAGAAAGAGAAAACTGGAGTGTAAGAATGAGGCTTCTTTTGGGATTCATCGTTATCTTTCCTGTCTCTCTTTTTACATTCATCAGTCTCGTGACTAATGCAGTCCTCCCAGCATTGCCCAGAGCCTCTCCTGCATAGAACTCCACCTAGATTAACAGGTAGAGTGGTTCAGGTAGGTGATATGTTGCCGCAGAATCACTGTATGTTATGCCTGTGGCTCTCATGAATATCTCATTGACATTTTTCTGTTTAAGAAAGTTCCCAAATTTCAAGAGAATATTGATATCCTAACACAGTAGCACTAATATATTTGTCGCTAAATGAATCACCCAGACTCTTCGGTTTGGCCATTCCATATCTCTTAACAGAAAACCTAGCACAGTTAGTATTGATTATAGGTCGGAGTCTCAGGTCTAGATACCTGTTCGTTCATGGGCTGATCAAGGGCAAACCTGCTTATGTAGCTTCTAGATCAGGCATCCTCAAACTACGGCCCGCGGCCACATATGGGCCGCCTACCACATTTATGCAGCCATCCAGGTGTTTTTGCCGCCACTGCCTATCCTGCTTAGCAGCCGACTCGTCCCGGGCCCACAGTGCGCACTCTCCAACGGTCTGAGGGACAGTGAAATGGCCTCCTGTTTAAGGAGTTTGAGGAGTCCTGTTCTAGATCATCAGAGTTTGAGGGTGTGGTTATTGAGAGGAAGTTGGAGGTAAATCCTTTGTAATATTAATATATAAGTTGTACATATGCCCACTGTCCATCTAAATTATAAAGTTAGGTTTTTGTGCATATTTGGTTCTCATAATCAGAGGTTACAGAAATAATGCTGTTCTTATTTAAAGTTCATATCCAAAAGCATGTGTTTTAATAAGGTTCATTTGAAGGGCTCAGAGAATATTTATTTTTCATATACTCCTATGTAAAACAGTTTCTATAATCAGATCATCAGTGACAACTTGCTTTATTTATTCCAATGTAAAATTAAACAAGTGGGAAAATATCTCCACAGGGCCCACAAAGACACAGTTGTGTAGTTTAAAGGAGGTAAATCATGATCCAGTGAATGGGTATTTGTCGAAAGCCCATTTCTTCACCATCAGCCTGTTCTCTTAAAACTAGAGTATATGTTCCTTCAACACATCTTTAAGAGAGTCACAATTTTCTCTTAGCTGGTGGTGGATGGTAGTTCTGTTCTAGAAATACTTCTCTACAACTGTCTACTCTCAACTTCGAGGCTCCTGGATGAACACTTTTATCCATGACAAAAATAGACTCTTCTAAGAAATAATCAGAATAAATTATAATAAATACCTCTATCAGTTGCAAAATTTTAATACCTAAATAAATACCAGCATTCCTACTACTGCTATTTTGCTTAGTAAGCTAGAGCTCTGTTTCCAGTTGGTGTAAATCATCAACGCTATGAAAATTAGAATGGTAAAGCGTTGGGTGGTAATGGTGATTTTTTTTTATCCTACTTAACATATTTTAGCAAAGTCATCCCATCCCAATTTATATTTTAAAGTGTAAGTTCTCTGAATCCTGGGAAAAGGAATTTACTATCACTTTTTCATTACCCCTTCTTCCAGCCATTTCTCCAAAAATAGTAAAATTTTAACCAATTCAAGCAAGGGAGTTGGTAACCCAAGCCCAGTTGACAGCTGTGAAATTCTAACTAATTGGCATCATAAATAATAGATATGTTAAATTTATCTTAGTAACTTCATTCTCTCCTTTGGTACCATCCTTCTTTTTAATTAGGTAAATAAAAATTATCAGTTATAATTTAATCTTCCTAGCCCATTAATCAGGTTATAGAGTTCTTTTAAGAACTGACTGAAGTTTGTGCTTATCATGGAAATTACATTTTTATGAAGAATTCTGGTAACAGATTCTAAATAATTAAGTGACATAAAGCTCTAGTAGTTTCTTTTAATGAGCTACAGGATTTAGTTTAATTAAAAGCTTTATCCTTGGCTGGGCACACTGGTTCATACCTATAATCCTAGCACTCTGGGAGGATTGCTTGAGCCCAGGAGACCAGCCTGAGCAAGAGCAAGACCCCATCTCTACTAAAAATAGAAAAATTAGCTGGATGTGGTGGCGTGCGCCTATAGTCCCAGGGAGGCTGAGGCAGGAGGATCGCTTGAGCACAGGAGTTTGAGGTTGCAGTGAGCTACGATGACGGCCACTGCACTCTACCTGGGGCGACGGAGAGAGTATCTACCTTAAAAAAAAAAAAAACTTCCGGGACTACTCTAGTATGAAGTTGTAATCTAAGAGTAGAATTTTAAAGCAGGTCCAGACTAATGTTTTTGTGTTAATTATGACTCTTTATTCTGACTGGTGCTTAGGGAAGAAGTAGAGAAGCCAGTCTAACAATTAGTTTTATAGTTTTCCATGGAGAAAACTTGGGCTATATTTCTAGAAGGTGCCTGCTGCGGGCAGTTGCTTGCTCTTTAGTGTAGCTCTGTAGCTACTTGGTGGAGGAGCAGAGGGTTGCTGGAGCCTCCTTTGCGAGACTCCGCTTTGTCCGCACGTACTGCTGCAGGGAAGAGCATTCTTGGGCCCATGAAACAAAATTTCCCAGTCCCTGTAGTTAACATCCTCCGCATCCACTGCCAGCCATTAGCATGTTTAAGAGGCTTTAGGTGAACTTGTAAGGGCCCAGAAAAAAGTTGCACAAATATTTTAGGAGCCTTAACCTTCTAAGGCTCCTGAACAGCTAATGTGTGAATGAAGTTACCTCTTTATCTAAGAGCCTCATCCTTATTTTCTTGGCACTAAAACCATCACCTGTCTGAGTCAGCCCTAGTATCATACTCCACCCACCCCATCCACTGTCGCCAGGTGGAGATCTGAGACAGATGTGCAGGCTTCCTCGGGGATTGTCCTAACGTGCACACAAACCAGTGCAGCTGGGCACAGTGGCAGCAGCAGGTTGGTCTTCAACACCTGGCTTCATGGGCAGGGCTGGACTCCAGATGCTTGCGCAGGTGGTTGGCAAAATCCACCTGCGTCTGTGATAGGACCTGGTTGATGATCGTCTTTGGCAGCCACCCCTGCAACAGAAGATAGAATTTGACCATCTGGGGGTGACGCTGCACCCTAGACACCTTTGCACCCTGACACGAACTTAGGTTGCGTGGAGCTTGGTCTTCAGCTCTGTTTATAGATGCAACCTTGGAGTTGACGGGAGTCAAGGGCTGGGGGACTCCACTGCTGCCCTGGGGTCCGGACAGCATCAAGCACAAGCTTTGCTGTTAAGACAGATTTCATTCCTATCGTGAGCTGTGTGACCCTAGGCAAATTGCATCACCCTTCTCCCACTTAAGCTCTCTGGGCCTGAATTTCCTTCTTTCTAAAATGGTAACTACCGGCCAGGCATGGTGGCTCACGCCTGTAATCCTAGCACTCTGGGAGGCCGAGGCTGGCAGATTGCTGAAGGTCAGGAGTTCGAAACCAGCCTGAGCAAGAGCGATACCCCGTCTCTACTATAAATAGAAAGAAATTAATTGGCCAACTAATATATATAGAAAAAATTAGCTGGGCATGGTGGCACATGCCTGTAGTCCCAGCTACTCGGGAGGCTGAGGCAGGAGGATTGCTTGAGCCCAGGAGTTTGAGGTTGCTGTGAGCTAGGCTGACACCACGGCACTTACTATAGGCTGGGCAACAGAGTGAGACTCTGTCTCAAAAAAATAAATAAATAAAAATAAAATGGTAACTACAGAATTGAGCTTCGCTGTGAGAGCTGAGGGCTTTTGAGAGGTGCAGTAGCAGTTAGGCTGTCACTCAAGTCCCTTCCCTGCCCAACCACCCGTGATTCTGTCAAAGTGGAATAGGGTTCGTCTGTCCCCTGTGGGAAGGGCAGAGTGTTCTCACTGCCTCCCCCGAGCCGCCCCCACGCCCCGCACCTTGAGGTCAATGCTGAGCAGCCAGGTGAGTTTGGTCTTTGAGGGACTTCCAGCCAGGGGACGGAGCACCATGCAGGTAGGACCGTGCTCAGCTCTGGCAAATGAAGAGAAGTCACATCAGGACAATTTGAGTTCTCTCCTATGCTGACTAGTTAAACTAGCCACATTTCTAGAGCACCTTGTCTTTTTTCTAAATTCATCAGGGACGTGCCCTCTGCCAAGGGTATTATTAACAGGTGGCATGGCTACTAGCTCATGAGAGCAAACATGGCTGTCGCTGGAGTGGAACCTGGAGGCCCGGTGTACCCTCTCATTGCTAGATCACAGAGGGTTGGGGAAAGGATTCGGGGTGGTGGCTGGGGCCTTGGGAACTTGGGGAGCCTCAAGGTCCCAAGTGGTATGGGCGACTGAGCATACCAGCTGAAGCTTTCTGCCCTGCTCTTGCTTCAGGAAATGACCAAGGTTCTCAAACTTTGGAAGGGTCAAGATAAACTGGCAGTTGAAGTAGGGCCAATCTCGTCCCTCTCCCCTACTTTGTAAATTAGAATGTTCTTTTGTACAAGGAAGCCGCCCAGGGTAGGAACCAAGGGGCAGTTTCTTGGCGCCAGGGGTTCAGCCCGTCCATGCTCGCGGGAGTGCCTGTGTTAGCAGAGGGGAGTTCCGAGCCTGCTGCCTGCGTTACCTGATGACGCCTTTCTGCTCAGGCATCTTCCCGAATTGTGTGGCCATGCCAGCCAGCACGCAGGTGGAGCCCCGGCGCTTGGCACAGCGCACGCTCACAAAGTCGCGCGGCCCCACCAGGTTTCCTGCTGCTTCTGCAGCCAGCTCGTGGGTGATGACCGTATCTTTTCCAATCTTCTGCAGGACCTGCCGGGCCACAGGGAGCAGAGCCACTGCTCAGCCAGTGCTGGGGCTAAGCACCACCCACAGCTGGGGGCCCCCTTGGCCCGCCACTCAGGCTGGGTTCTCCTGGGACACCCACACCTGGCCTTAGCTCACCTTGATCTCCTTGACATTCGGGTTCCACTCTCCCATCGTCTCCATGCGATCCACAAGCTCTTCATAGAGCCTCTCCACGGGCTGGTCCACCACCACCTCCAACCGGAACACCTTGCCCACGTCCGGGACCACTTTGCTCAGCACCTTGTCCCCATTCGCCTGTCAGGGAGAGAAAGGAGCCCCGGGGTACAGGTGAGAGAAAAATACTCTCAGCCTAGAAATCTTAGACAACAGCAGCCAGGGTGTGTGTGGGGGGAGCGGACAGCAAAAGGAACTCCAAGGCAAACGTGAGGACGCCTGAACTCGGTCTGACTGAGGCGGCAGTCACCGCTGCCGAAGCCTTGTCCATCTGCTGAAGCCTGGGGGAGGTGACCTGCTGCCCTCGGGCCTTTTTTGTTGGTGGCAAGTGTTGGTGGCATGGTTAGGCCCAATTGGAAAAACCCGTATTTGACTTGAGAAGCTCAAAGATCCTGAGAGACATGCCTGGGAGTGGGAACAGTCTGGCCTACAATCAGCCTGATTATACATGGACTTACACAAGCAGCTTAATTATACACAGGCTGATGGGTAAGAGCTTAGAGATTTGTTGTAGTTCAGTAGTGCTTTTCACATCAGCAGGACGTGGGGCCAGAGAAGGTCAGTGGTTTGCCCGGGGACCCTTAGCTAAGAGTGGTGCCAGCCCAAATCCTAGGTTTCTTGAGTCCTGAACCAGTAGTCCGTTAACTCCATTACTCTGAGAACTTGGGGAAGGAGAGGTTTTGCCTGAACTTTGGGTAACAGGCAGCGTGTCAGATTTGGCTGAAGATAAAGCCACCGAAGTCTCCAGCAGCAGAGCCACTGGCCTTTACCACATGCCTTGTTACTGGCTCCCAGCAAGGGGCAGTGCCCAGGAGCAGAGAACCCCGGAAGGCCTTGGGTCCCTTTTAGCCCGTCCCTATTGCAGGGTGGGCCCAGTCGCCCCTGTGAGCTTAGCCATGAGGTGGGCTGAACAGCACAGACAACGCACCCGGGCACTGTGGGGCTTCTTACCCAGGGTGACACTGCCTCTAGTGCACGTGGAGTCTCCATTGCATGGTCTCTGCTAAGTGGGTGGACAGTGTATTTGGAGGGGAGCTAAGGATTCCGGGGTAACGTTTCTCAAGCAGGAGGCTCCAAGACGCCTTTCAGGGGGTGGTGGTGTATCCGAAGATACATTCTTGGGAGGGAGTTCTCAAGTTCAAACTGTCCCCGGCCGGGCCCGTGACTGCTGCCTGAGGCAGGAATTCAGAGGAGAGCAGTGACCCTGGCCGGCCTTGACAGTGGCAGCAGAATGGTGAGGAACTGCAGCCTTCACACCTGCGCTCACCTGCTGGGTCTCCTTCTTCCAGCCCTCCTGATTGCCGAGGATGTCCAAGGCCGTCTGCATGGCCTCCTCCCCCTGCCGAAGGTAGGCCAGCTCCTGGTCGCTGTAGAGAGTCTCTTCCAGCCGAGAGCCTGGCACGCAGTGAGGAGAGAGAGGGCCCTTCTAGTCTCCCAGCCTCCCGCCAGCTCTCGCCCCTTTGATCTCTGGATCTGCTCTTTCCTCTGAAGAGGAGACCAAAGCCACAGGGCCCAGCCTGCAGGCCAAGGTGACAGGGAGGGGATCTGGCCTTGAGGAACTCTAGCATGAGAACATCTCTAAGGGAGGGGGCGCAGGAGGGGGGCCGGAGTCACGTGCACAATATTCGAACACCGGGAGCCAGCAGAAGCCCCGGCACTTACCAAGCAGAGAGCTCCGCCGCCGAACCTGGTTAATCCAGGTGCCAGGGCTCGGGCCCCCCAGGGCCCTCCGGTTCAGCTCCTGGCCAATGGCCAACACAGCTTGCTGCCTCAGCCCTGCAGGGAGGGAAGAAGCGGCCGTCAGACCATCCCACCCCCTCAGCTTGTCACAGACAGGGATGCTTGCTTGGAGACATGGAGACGGCAGTGACTTGCTGAGGAACACACAGGTTCCTAGCAGAGACCTGAACTAGGGCCAGGTCCCCAACTCCTGGTGCTTGCGCCCAGAAACTGGCTTCCATCGGGCCTGGTCGGCCTGGCCCCGCCTGGAGACGGGCTGCACCGGAGCCTGCTGGAGTTTCTCTCCTTTTGTCCCAACAACCAGCAGGGAAAACACTACTGCAGAAGGAGAATAAAACCCGCCCGAGGCCGGTGGCCGGTGCGGTGGCTCACGCCTGTAATCCTAGCACTCTGGGAGGCCAAGGAGGGCAGATTGCTCGAGGTCAGGAGTTCGAAACCAGCCTGAGCAAGAGCGATACCCCGTCTCTACTAGAAATAGCCAGAAATTAATTGGCCAACTAATATACATAGAATAAATTAGCCGGGCATGGTGGTGCATGCCTGTAGTCCCAGCTACTCGGGAGGCTGAGGCAGGAGGATCGCTTGAGCCCAGGAGATTGAGGTTGCTGTGAGCTAGGCTGACGCCACGGCACTCACTCTAGCCGGGGCAACAAAGCGAGACTCTGTCTCAAAAATAAATAAATAAATTAATTAATTAAAAAAATAAATAAAACCCGCCCCTGAGGTCCGAGAATGCTTGCCACCTCCACTGGTGAGTCCTGTCGATTTAGTGAGGACAGCCCGGCCACCAGCCACGGCTCTGCCCAAGCACGGGGCCGTCTAAACCGCAGCTGATTCAGCCCAGTGCGAGTGCAAAGGGCTTGTCTGGGTTGGTCTGTGTGCCTCTCAGTGGTAGCAGGGGATTGCCTCAAATGACTTGGAGTCCTAATCAGCTCTACAAAAGTGGCCTCTCGTCGCTGGTCCCCACCTCTTGCTGGCTGCACAGAGATGACCAGACGGCCCTGCCTCACCCACTTCTCTCCTTGCCCGGCCCCCGCTGTCTTTCCCCCACGCCTCCCCGTCCCTTTCTTTTCTAGCCCCCCTCCTGCTTGTCGGAGTCAAGACTGACTCTGCCTCTCCCACACTGGGCCAGACCTTCCTGCCTCCTGCGGCCCAAGCCTGGCCCAGCCCTGAAGGGGAAGGCAAATCAGCAATAGTTCAAGGAAGACTGGCGCCCTGGCGGGGAGACTAGAGATTGCAGAGTCTTGAAGGGACATCTGAATGTCCTGCCCAGTTCCTCAGGTGGGGAAACTGAGGTCTAGAGGGAAGAGACTTGCCAGGCCCCCCCCCATGAGGCGCAACGTGGGGGGCCTACCCCCCAACCCCGGTACTTTTCCCCGCCCATGTTGCCTTAGAGCCCCTGGTGAGGCAGGGGGACTCACCCTTCATGTTGCGCACGTGTCTGTAGGAGCTCCCCGCGCACAGCTTAAACGTTGCCAGCAGCATGGTGCGCGGCCGATGGGGCAGTGGCCGGGCTGCCGCTGCTGCCTTTGCACCTTGCTGTCAGGGCTCCTCAAGGTCCGCCCCTGGGTCCTGCGTTTTAAATGTCCCCAGCTGAAGGCTGTGCTTCATCACCGGGAGATAAAAAAGCCATCACTCACTGCGCAGAGGAAAGGGTCAAGGGTAGAGCGATTGCCTCACACTGCAGCTTTGGCCATTTGGGGGGCGGGGGGGGCGGTTTGCGCAGGAAGGAAGGGCGCGGGTGGGCTGGCCCGAGAGGCCGGGGAGAAGAGCGCTTGGCGGCAGGCGCGCACGGCGGGTCTCGAGGTTGGCAGTGCCCACTCCAGATGTAACGGGCGGAGAGCCGAGGCGTTAAAACACACGGGGTGCTGCTGGGTGTTCCGCCCAGTCTTTGCACTTTGGGGACCATGGTGCTAAGGGAGGACCGAGAGTCGCCCCTGCGGTCCTCACCCACTGCCACCCAGGCGCACGGGGGCAACGAGCTCCAAGCCTGCGCGCCCGGCCCTGATGAAGTCTTCGGGTCCCCTCAGGGGTGCCCCCAGGCTGCGACACTGGGGACACGGAGAACTGCGCTAGATCCAGGCCTTGCCGCCTGTGTGGGAGAGCTCTGGGTCCTGCCCCCACCACCTGGGGGCGGGCGGGGGGGGGGGGCCTAAACAGGGGAGCCGCAGCAGGGTCCCCCCACTCTCCCTCCAGACGGGATGAAAGGCCAGGCCTGGGGCCAGAGCCCATGTGGGGCAGGCGAGCCCCCGTTTCCACCTGGGTGGGAGGGTGGGGGTCTTGTGAGGCTGGAGCCTCCGGCCTGTCCCCAAGGCCCAGTGCAGCCCCTCCCCTGTGGGGCTCCCTTGACCCCCACACCTTCTGGGGTGGCCCGTTCCTCTGACCGTCGGTGGCACTGGGGGATGTATCTCAGGCCCTGTGTCTCTGGTGGCCCTTGGGTCCGCTCGTCTCCACGGGTCATTATCTCTGCGTCCACTTCCCTCCTCAAGCCCCATCCCGCCCTCAGCCCTCGGCTCCAGTGAGGACACGAGGGACTCCTATTCCCTCGTCACCGAGCGACCAACGTAGGAAGCAGCTAAGGGTGCAGGGGCGTCTTTTGGCCTAGGAAACCTGCCCGTAGGCATTGGTTCCCACCCTCGAGGAAGGAGGGAGGCTTGGCACCTGGAGGTGAAGGCCCAGGTCCTCTGCCTTTCTGGGGGAGTGCGGTGGCCTGCTCCCCACCGGCTGTCCCCGTGCATGTGCGCCCTCCGCACGTGTGTGCACAGCACACCTGACCGCGGGGTGGGGGAGGGGGGCTATTGCGGAACAGGCCATGCAGATAATAATGTTCAAGGCCCGCTCTTGCCATCCTGCGGAGAATTATGGCCATCTGGAGGGGAGGTGGTGGCGTGGGAGCCCTGGAGGGCTGAGGTTTGCTGCTGTGCTGATGTCAGAGGCCGCGTTGACTCGGGGTGGTGCTGCGTGACCTCACCCAGGGCCAAGGCTCCCTTCCTCTCTCGGGCATCCTTCTCAGGCTGGGTGACCAGTTAACTCTTACTGTCCCTCTGAGCAGTACGGTGGCGAGAGAGTCCTGGGCGTCTCCTCTGTATCTGGCTCTGCTTTTTGGTGAAGGCAGGGCTCCCAAGGCAGGAGACCAGGTAGGCACAGCAGGTCGGCAGCGAGGAGACGCAGAGACCTGGCTGCAGTGGCCGCAGAGTGCTGGTGGAGGCGGCCCCAGGGCCAGGGAGGAAGGCAGGGCTTCGGGGCAGAAAAGGGGACTCCGTGCAACCCTCCGCCCACTCAGCAGTCCTTTATGGGATGTCCTCTGCAGAGCTCTGCGATTGTGACCATGTGGATTGAGCCCTGCGGCCCAGTGCGGACAGCTGGGGGGCAGATGAGGTATCTGGGAAGCACAGAGGGAGGGGACACCTGGTTCCACAGGGGAGGGCGGGAGGAGTGTTGCGGATGGCTGCTGGGAGGAAGTAGCATTGGAGTTGGGTCTGGAAAGGTGGGTTAGCGTCAGCTAGGTTCATGGTGGACGTCGGAGATAGAGGAAGGGGCGTTCCAGGTGGGCAGGTGGCCAGCAGCCAGGAGAAAGGCTCTGAGGGCTGAGAGCTGGCTGCTTGGGTACGTGGGCTGTGCGGTGTGGCCGTGGGTGTCACAAGATACCTGTTGGGCGTGGGAAGATTCCTCTGCAGGCTCCCAGGAGGCAGAGGCTGATGCTGGGCAGGGGACCTCGAGCTTGTGTGGCTCCAGCTCAGAGGAGGAGCAGCAGCCCCCACCTCTTGGTTTTCTGACCTGGGGTCGTGTTGTGAACCAGAGCGGGGAAGGCACAGGTTTTATGTTCAAACAGACCCCCAGTCCCTCCCACCGCTAACGTTGTGATTGTCCGCAGCTCACTCCTGTAATCTTAACTTCCTTGCCTGTAAAATAGGGATACCTTTATTTCTTATTCTTTCTGTAACCTCTGAGGTTGGTTATATGGTTTAAACGAGGTGACAATGCATCACAAGCCCACCAGGCACAGCCCAGACTTCTTAGCAGGACTCTAGTTTATCCCTCCCATTCTCACCTGGACTCTCCCCAGCAGAGCTCAGCTCCCCTGCTGCCGCCCTCACCCCGGGCCTACTTTCTTCCTTCCGCACTTGCAGGGAGCTCCTCTCCAAGGCTTCCTGTTGGGCACCTCCTCACCCTGCTCTTTAATTCATACTCGATGCTGTTTCTTTTTTTTTTTTTTTTTTTAATGAGAGTCATGCTTGTGAAGCGATGCTGTTTCTTTCCAGCCCTTTTGGTAAATGTGTATCACAGTATCCACAAGACTGTTGCTAATTCTCCCTTATTTTACATCTCTGTAAACATGAACCTCTACAAGTAAAAATGTAACTTTACATGGACCTGTCAACTGCATGAGGACCTGGACCCTTTGCTGTTAGTGTTTAATCTCTAGTGCTTAGCACAGTGCTGGATCATTAATAGACACCGAACACGTTTAACAAATGATTGAGAAGTGTAGAGGCTGGCACTTTGTAGATTCTCAATAAATACCGGGTTTATTCCATCTCTTTTTCCTTGTTTTGAGACAGAGTCTCGCTCTGTCACTCCCCCTCCCAGAATCCCCCCCCCAGGAGTGGAGGTTTAAATGAGGTGACAATCCATGAGCGCAGTGGTGTCGTCATACCTCACAGCAGCCTCAAACTCATGGGCTCAAGTGATCCTCCTGCTTCAGCCTCCCGAGTAGCTGGGAATACAGGTGCACACCATGACATCTGGCTAATTTTTTTTTTTTTCTATTTTTAGTAGAGATGGGGTCTCGCTCTTGCTCAAGCTGGTCTCCAACTCCTGGCTTCAAGTGATCCTCCCGCCTCGGCCTCCCAGAGTGCTAGGATTACAGACGTGAGCCACCCTGCCCGGCCTCTTCCATCTCATTAGGGTGGCCAGCCTGGGGCTGAGGTGCACCCCGGGCTGTGTTGGGGTCTGCATTTATTTACCGTTAAATGAAGGTCTCCAGAAAGACCGCTCTGAGCAAGCAGCACAAAGTTAAGGCAAACCAACCTCGGTGGGCTTGGGGTAATTACAGATCACCTCCCTTAGAAGTACGCATTTTATGTAATTCAGCACTTAAATTCCTTAATCTGAGTCGGCCATCGTTATTTCACAGGTATCAGTGTTATTTGCACAAAGGAAATTGTAAGTATAAATTCATCGAGAGTGCGGAGTATCCCAGTAGGTCCCAGTAGGTCTCAGTAGGTTATAAAAGCTGACGTGAGCACTCTGTGCGGGGCACCATGCTAACTAAGCTCTTCACACAGGTCGTCCTTGTAACAGCCACCCAAGAAGCTGCCACTATTATTACCCCTATTTTATAGAAGAGGAAGTGGAGGTACTGAGGGGTTGAGCAACTTGACCAAGTTCAAAGAGCCAAGTGAAGACACCAGGAATCAAACCCAGGCAGCCTCGTCTGTGCCCTTGGTTCTACTGCTTCACCTTTTAAAAATCTCAGGGCTCTCTCTGAAAAATGGGGCTAAAGGCTGCCTCTCCTCCTAGCATATGCCTGCCTGGTTTATGGTAATCCCTCAACAAATTTTAGGGTGATGGGTGACTTACTCGGCTGTCACGTTCTGTGGGAGCCCCTTGTTTTCCCCTTTACCCACAAGCAGGTGAAGCAGATTTAAGATGTCCTTGCCCAGTCACTTTGGCAGAGAACGTAGTAGTCAAGGCTTTTGGTCTGTCGTAATCGCCTGAAGGCAGGAGGGGCTGAATTTAACCTTCCAGATGTTTCATTTGACCCACGCACCATTTTAAGGAAACTTTGAATTAGTTGCCAACATAAACTGTAGGGACAGAAAATGGATTTGTGCCATCCAGGGCCCAGGAAAGGAGGAAGAAGTTAAATACAAAAGGGGCAGGGGCCACGAAAATATTGCGTATCTTGGTTGTGATGGTGGGGTTATGTAACTAGATGCAGTTGTTAAAATTCATAGAACTGCACACTGAAAAGGGTGTATTTTACTGTATATAAATTATTTCTCAGTAAACCAGAAAAAACTGGGTTTTGGAGATGGGTTCCCAGGCAGTGTGGGTTCCCAGCCTTGACGTCCGCTGGCAGTGAGCCCTCTCTCTTCCCATTGGCCCAGCTACTGGCTACGTGGGCCCTGGCACCACTCCGTTCTCTCGGTTTCCAAAGCAACAGCGATGAAGGTCGTTTTCTACCCCTAGGTCCAGCCACGTGGCTGAAGTTGGTGGGGGATGGGGAGGCCGGTGAGAAGAAAGAATAGGCAGAAAATAGGAGGCTGGGAGGGGAAAAGAGAGGCCAACTACTGAAGTGAGACAGGAGAGAAGAAAGGCAGCCTCTGGTTTTATCCTTTGTTTCCAGATAGTCCTGGCAGAGCCTGGGGGTTAGACAGGCAGGGGAGTCCTAACCTCGATGGGACCCAATGTCCCAGAGCTTTGGGACATTGCTCCCATATTCTAGAATGGGTTTTCCAGTTCTTTCAGGGATCAGGAGGGGAATAGGGAAATTTACTTATTTATTCATTCATTTTATTTTGGAGACAGGGTCTCACTCTGTTGCCTGGGGCTAGAATGCAGTTGCATCATCATAGCTCACAGCAACCTTGCACTCCTGGGTTCAGGTGATCCTCCTGCCTCAGCCTCCCAAGTAGCTGGGACTACAGGCTTGTGCCACTGTGCCCGGCCAATTTTTCCACTTTTTGTAGAGATGAGGTCTTGCTT